AGCTTTGTAAAAATCTACGCGTTTCAGAAAGGCGGGGCATAGAGGAGAAACAATAATGTACAGTATGTGGAAAATAATGTGTTTTTTAAACCTTAAACCACATAAACACATTTCATTACACCAAATACACAAAATAATGTTCTTTTTAGCAACATCTTATGACCCCTTTAATTTTTGGTGACATGAATCATTTACATTTACATTTATTCATTTGACAGACGCTTTTATCCAAAGCGACTTACAGTTGAGGAACACAACAAGCGATGTATCATAAGATGGCAATAAACACGAGAAGTGCCTGTTATACAAGGTTTCAGTCATCATTCAAAATAGTAAAAAGCTAGTACAGGAGGATAATTAGAGAACAGAATTTTTTTTTTAATAATAATTGAAACTAGCAAAATGTTGCCAATCTGGTGACTGTTTGACTCTTGTGTGTCTTCTGATTGCAGGCCTCAGGAACACCAGCCAACCAATAACCCCAACGCATCCAAGTTTGCTCAAAAGTTTGGCGGCTCTGATAATTGTCCTCGGTGTAGCAAGGCCGTCTACGCAGCTGAAAAAGTCATAGGGGCAGGAAATGTAAGCCAAAAGCAGAAACGACAGGAGGAAATGCTGTCGTGACACACCAAAATTAACTAAGCCTGGTCTTCATTGAGCGACTGTGGTCTTCTTCTCTGCAGGCATGGCACAGGGGTTGTTTCCGATGTGCAAAGTGCGGCAAGGGGCTGGAATCTACAACTTTAGCCGACAAGGATGGTGAAATCTACTGCAAAGGCAGAGTATCCAATGTTATCCTGTCTCTTTTTAGTGATTCATGCCAAGCAACCACCTAGAAAACACCCAGAACCACATAATGAACTAAAAACACTCAGAACATGTTAGCAACGATAAAGCAGCTTGAGCTGGGTTGACAATATTGATTAATTGATTTGAATCAATCTTCATTTTCATGAACAAATATCTATTCCTAAATCCCAAGATCGTTTTGTGAGTCTATGCTGTCGATGTTTCTGCTTATGCGTTAACAAAACTTCACTAAACATCACTTGTAGTGTGACTCCCATCCAATAATCGCAATAAGTTACTCAATAATTACAAAGTCTGTGCTTTATATTTCAGTCATTTTTATCACAAATGGTTAAATCTTGTAATGGTTTTAATGGTTATAATTGGTATTGTTGTATTGGCTTGTATTGGTTTTAATGGAAACTGAAATTGTCCCTGTGGTTCTCTACTTGTAATCTGTTGCCTTCTATTGGTAGCATGTTAGAACCACTAAATCCTAATGGAATATGGCCCAAAACACACTACTGGACAGGATTACTAGGTCTGTGTAACAATTATTACCCTAACCCTAATCAATCAAAAATAGACCCCAAAAAGCCCAACAACCCTATCCAAATATCAAAACTCAACATATGCCACTCCCATACCTAAAATACATATTTGACAGTCACTTTTATGAGTTATACACAATTTCACTTTGAAAATCAGTAACATTAATCATAAGCAGTCTGTTTTCATATAGCCCCCCCCCCAATACACGCATTACAGTCAATTACAATTTATGCAATTTGTCAAATCTTTACACCACTGGAAAAAAATCAACCCACGGAAACAGGTTACAAGTAGCCCAAGTCTGTGAGAAAGCCGTGAACTTGGCAACCCTGCTACTGGAAACCATTAGGTAATGTTTTAATGGTTAACAGTTGATGGTTTGTAATGTTTCCACAACAAATACCATTACAAACCATTAGAACTTCTATGACGGTTTCTATTTTTGTTAGACCGCAGAAAGGCGTCAATAAAACAGCTTGTAAATTAACAATATGGCCTGTAATGTTATATATTTACCTCAGGAAAGCCATCCAATAACCATAACTCAACAACTAACTCTAGAGAGGAGCATTTTGCTAAATATATGCACTATGTTACATATTCAATGTATTTTTGCTTTGAAAAACCACCATTTAAATGTTTATATTTCAACAATGAATCCTCTAGAAAAATTGGCATGTACTCTACCTGATATATATCCAAAACAAATTGAATCAACTCATTGAATCAAATCAAGAGCTTGTGAATCAGAACTGAACCGATTTGTGAAATCTGTGTCAGTAGGCCTACTGTGTCATTCCTAACAGCAACACCCTGGAAACCACACAAAATCACTGTGGCGAGATTTGCAACAACACCAATCACATTTTCTTCATAATTTGTAAAAATCCTTACCATTGTCATGGCGTCATATTAACTTCATTTTGTGCTCTACACAGGTTGCTATGCCAAAAACTTTGGACCAAAGGGCTTTGGATACGGTCAAGGTGCTGGAGCGCTGTCACACACTAAATAGATCAGCGTGACACCAATCGTAAGCATCTGTAGAAGCACGAGTGCATGAGTGAGTGCATGTCAGTGTCTTGAAAATGGAAACCGGTGTCAGTCAAGAAGGAAACCAGAGTCCAGATGCTTCTGCCTAATTCTTAAAGGAGACACGTTCCACATTTCAACACATTCCACAAGACATCATGTCATTGTCTTAAACCCATAAACATGTCTTCTTAACTCTTGAACATTGCCAAATGCTTGGAAGAACGTCAAGTATGTAAACAAAATTTGGGATTAGACTTAATCTGCTCACCTATGATGATCACTTGGGTTTGTCAAGATTTAGTGGAACCTGAGCTGTGCTGTCAGTATTCCTGTGCTTAGATGTACTGTCTGTTCTCTAGTGGATCTGCATGAGTTCACTAGTTTACCACATGATTGTTTGAGCTTTAATCACAGTAAAGAACGTTTTCTTCAGCTCTATTTAAAGCATGAATGCATCACAAGTACTCCCTGGCTTAAGATGCACTAAATTTATTTCACTATCAATGGAAAAATATCCCACATATGCATTCTGCACGTAATTTAAGAAGATGTTATAGAAGTAAATGTACAAATATGCACAGTTTTGGTGTCTTTTTTTTAGTTGTGTCCATTAAACTGAATAGCTGGTGAATGTAAATGTTTGTAAGATATATTTTATGTAAAATGAATGTGCCTTGCAAGTAAGCAGCGTTAGTTTCAGTGTATATTTCTAGTAGATGGAATATGGTGTCACACATTCAAACAAAACAAATGAACAGATGTGCACTGGTTTTAAGGCTTTTTTTTTTCATTGGATGATGTACACTACCGTTAAAAAGTTTGGGGTCTGTAAGCTTTTTAAAATATTTTTAAAGACGTCTCTTATGCTCACCAAGTCTGCATTTGTTTGATCAGAAATACAGTAAAAACAGTAATACTGTGTAATATTATTACAAATTACAATAACTGTTTTCTATTTGAATATATGTTAAACTGTAATTTATTCCTGTGATGCAAAGCTGAATTTTCAGCATCATTACTTCAGTCTTCAGTGTCACATGATCCTTCAGAAATCAGTATAATATTCTAAGAAACATTTCTCATCAGTGTTTAAAATAGTTGTGCTGCTTTTATTACTGTAGAAATTGTGCTACTTTTTCAGAAGTCTTTGATAAATATAAATTTGAATTTCAAAAGAACAACACTTATTTGATATAGAAATATTTTTTGTAACATTATAAATGTCTTTAGATCAATTGAATGCATCCTTGCTAGATAGATGTATTCATTTCTTTTTAAAAATATCTTCCTGACCTCAGACTTTTGAACCATAGTGTATATTGTATCACATATCTAAATGACATATAAACTATTGTTTCATATACACCATTTATACATTCCATTTATGAGGCATTGTTTTGATTTACAGTTTCTGTATTAACTTGACCAAACATTCACCAAACAATCAAGTGGTCATATGAATTATTCATATAAAACTCTCATTGTCTACTGATTCGACATGCGCCAATGTTCTCTGCATTTGTTGCATGTGAATGGTTATTTGTAAAGTGAGTAGCACGTAACCACATTCCTTTCACATTATCTCAATGACGTGTGCTAAGTTCATAACCTAATCATTTTACAATTTTAGAAATGTACTATGAGTCACTCTCTTATTGAGTTTCATTGTGACTGAAAGATGAACTATCTGACACTTACAGTCAGGTCACTTCCTCTTGGGAAGTACCCGGTAATCCTTTAAAAGGTCGTAAACATTTCATTGGTTAAAAACATTGAGCTCTGCTGATTGTGTACAGAACATCACCCTGACTACTGCTGTATTTCTAGATACAATGCACCTTATAAGTTTTAGTGAAAATCAAAAAGACGCTTTGAGATGTCTATGCACGACACATCACATTTTAATAGTTATGCTTATTATATTTGTCAACCAAAAAAGGAGTTTTATGTTATTTTATGATATTTCGAACATTTATTGCATTATTTTAGTGTCGTGTGTTATCCTGAAGGTGTTGTGTTGTGTAGGTTACACTCAGCTCTATGTATTTACAAGCATTGTTCCTGGATATGCCAATTTCAATGAACATCATGTGGCCTGTTTTGCCACATTTATTATTTTTTCATTATATTTGTTTTTATTTCATTCAGGATCCATATATATTAAAGGAATAGTGCACTCAAAAATGAAAATGTACTGAAATTGTACTCAAGCCATTCATTCTATTTCTTCATGGGAACAGATTTGGAGTAATGTAGCACTGTAGCACTGCAATGTAGCACTAATGGATGCTCTGCAGTGAATGGGTGCCGTCAGAATGAGAGTCCAAACAGCTGATAAAAACATCACAATAATCCACAAGTAATCCACACCACTCCAGTCCACCAGTTAATATCTTGTGAAGTGAAAAGCTGCGTGTTTGTAGTAAACAAGTCCGTCATTAAAGTGTTTTACCTTTAAACCATTGCTTCTGATCTGTGCATATTTCTCTTCAAATTCAGACGAGATGGTTTTCCACTACAGAAAGCAACAGAGGGCTTGTATTTTAGCCAAAAGCAACTGTTTGAGGTTATAAACATCCTAATGATGAATTTATTTCTTACAAACACGCTGCTTTTCACTTCACAGGACATTAACTGATGGACTGGAGTGGTGTGGATTACTTGTGGATTATTGTGATGTTTTTATCAGCTGTTTGGACTCTCATTCTGACGGCACCCATTCACTGCAGAGGATCCACTGGTGAGCAAGTGATGTAATGCTGAATTTCTCCAAATCTGTTCTGATGAAGAAACAAACTCATCTACATCTTGGATGTCCTGAGGATGAGTGCATTTTCAGCAAATGTTCATTTTTGAGTGAACTATTCCAAGCAGATTTAAGTTAAATAAGTTTTTCTTTTTTTTTAAAATGAGCTTCTGATACAGTTACGCATCACTGCAGTACACCGGCTTGGTTAAACTTTTCACCTGAAACAGAAAAGTGAAATTAATGACTGAGATATGATCAATCTGTCAAACATTACAAACAAAATTCACAGTGTTGTGTGGGAGTAACATTGTTCATGTTACAAGCTGTCTGCATGTAATGGCTGTTGAACTGAGGGAAGGAAAAGAGCCCCTGCCAAATCTAGCATTAACATGAACCACCTACACACATTCCATCTGTGAAAGAAAGACAGGCAAATATTTTGAAATGATACAGGCATTAATATAGGTGTCATTCATAGCGTTAAAATCTTGCTGTAGCGTGCATTATTTGTAGCAAGTGGATGAATGTTCATCACAAATCTTTAATAATACAAGGTACATCTTTCCAGTGATTATGTCAGACCAGTGACATTGGTTCCAATACGTGCAGATGACCTAAATGTTCTTATTTAATGTGTGGCATGTGTGAAACAACACAGTATGGACCCTTTGAATTAGGTTTCAAATGCTAAGAAGAGGTAAAGATTGTCCTCTAGTGGACAGAATGCAAAATAGAATAATGTCTCAGCTATGAAAAGAGCACCTATTTCCCACGACCAACAGTGACTTTCGAAGATGTTCATCATTCCATTTGAGTTGTATCAGTGAAGAAGACAACACTATCGGATGAGTTTCGCTTCCTGAGACACAAGATAAAGAGCTTTCAGTCCACCAATGTTTTGAACCGAATAACAAGACTCATCAGGTTTTTTCAGTAAATTCATGATTTGATCATATTTGATCGGTCATTCAACAACTAAACACCAAATAATGAATAAAGCGACAACATGTCATATATATATACAGTGGGTACGGAAAGTATTCAGACCCCCTTAAATTTTTCACTCTTTGTTATATTGCAGCCATTTGCTAAAATCATTTAAGTTAATTTTTTTTCCTCATTAATGTACACACAGCACCCCATATTGACAGAAAAACACAGAATTGTTGACATCTTTGCAGATTTATTAAAAAAGAAAAACTGAAAAATGCTCAGTATTTAGTAGAAGCACCCATTTGATCTAATACAGCCATGAGTCTTTGGGAAAGATGCAACAAGTTTTTCACACATGGATTTGGGGATCCTCTGCCATTCCTCCTTGCAGATCCTCTCCAGTTCTATCAGGTTGGATGGTAAACGTTGGTGGACAGCCATTTTTAGGTCTCTCCAGAGATGCTCAATTGGGTTTAAGTCAGGGCTCGTCCATATTTGACCCAAAGTTGGGTTGAAACAACCCAGCAATATCAGTAAACCGGAAGTTTTTAAAACAAGCAGTTCATTCATAGATTTGTACGACCTTACGTTCACGCTGTGGAAATACAAGCGGAAGACAGAAGACAACAAGAGCAGCGCTGAAAAGGTGCGGAGCTACATAAGGTCTCTATCTACTTGAGCATAGGCAAAATATTGAAATTATTTGGGAAGGGAATTTTTGTTTAATTGAGGTAGCACATGGCACAGAGCATGTGATACCTCAAAAAAAAAAAAAAAAAAAAAAAAAAAACCATCATTGCTTCCAGCTAAAATATGACTGTGTCCATTCAAAGATTTGGTGAGGTTGTTGTTTGTTTTTTTGGTAGTGTGCACTGAAAGTTAATGCGAGATTTTGGCCTCAGTTATTAAACAGAAAAAGGCTTGAGCAAGAGTGAAGTTTGAACAAGAATAAATATTCACCCTGACCTACCATAGTTTACTATTTTTATTTATTTTCTACAATTTTCTATGGGATATTGTGTAACTTCTATCAGAACCCATTTTTTTTTTTTAATGTTTTGAAACTATAGTAGAGCTTTAGGATTTTTTTAAAAGAAAGATTTGATTATTTTCCTTGTTCTACAGAGACTATCAAAATTGGTATCATCCAAATGTGTTATAGAAGATCAGGGGCCGGTTGCATAAACTGTTTAGACTAGTCTTAAAAATGTAGTCACCTAATTTTTTTTTTCTTCAAGACTGGTCATAACTTTTTTCATTCAGTTATGAAAAGGTTGATTGTTCTTATTTGTATTGGAAAAGTAAGACTGATTCTTGGCAACTGCTAGTTGGTCAAACTAGTTCTTAAGACACAGTCTTAACATGGTGGCTAAGTTTATGCAACTGGCCCCTAAGTTTTAATTTTGTGTTGTACCGGGGTCTTATAAAAAAAATCCTATTAGGATCCTTTGGTTCTAAATGAAAAGTAAGACTGATTCTTGGCAACTGCTAGTTGGTCAAACTAGTTCTTAAGACACAGTCTTAACATGGTGGCTAAGTTTATGCAACTGGCCCCTAAGTTTCAATTTTGTGTTGTACCGGGGTCTTATAAAAAAAATCCTATTAGGATCCTTTGGTTCTAAATTAGTATAACAGGAATTCTGAAGAAAAAAAAAGATTTTGACTGAGGGATTAATAACAGTAGTCACACGTTAAGTATCCCGTCAAAGTGATTCAATAGAATAAAAGAAAGGCCCTTCACCAAAAAGCCGTCTGAAGTAAAGATGCCATGACATGATTGGACGTCCTCCAGCAGCATTTCAGTGAGCAGTTAGGACTAATCCCCATGACGTCACGAGCGGGTGGGGTGGGGGAAGCCTTCAGAAACACGAGAAGAGTCTCTTTCAGAGGAGCAAGTACCAACATGCCCAGGCTACAGGACTTCCAAGTAGATTGTAAAAGTATTTACAAGTCGGAAATTGATCTTTAGCCACAGAGGAATGCGGCAACGATGCGTTAGAATCAAGAACGGATCCCTTTAGTGGAATTATTTTCAGCAGAACCTCTAAAGTTGAGCGAAACCAAATAAATGAAGGCGTTTTATACTGTATGGGCGCACA